CCATGCAACCCCCTTCCGCTTATTGAGATTACCCCTGTGTCTTTATTTCGCCAATCCCAACTCACTGATGAGCTCCGGGGATTGACGAAATAATAAGGTTCGTCTGAGGAAGGAGCGAAACGAACCGTTTTATTTATTTTGTTTATAATGGTTTTTCTTTCTTAATTGCCCCTCGAGACATTCGATGAGGTCCGAGACCACCTATGATAGTATCCTTTTTCAGGCGGATGGCATTGAATCCGCTCCACGTACAGCGACGAAACCGGTGAGCTTATGTACACAACTAGATTTCATATATCACAGATAAACAATATCCCCGAGCGAGTTACTTTCTACGAACACATTCATCAAAGGCAGGGATCATGATAATTGTAGTGCTAGACATCTAATTATACGCATTTGAAACAGTATGGCAGCCTAGTCTGGCAAGGGAAGGATTCTAAGTCGATGTGGCCATGTGATGATACAGTCACTATAGCTGTGTTTTTGGATGCTGATCTCGAATCTGCGTTAAGAACCAGCGTAATGATTCTCTGAACGTAGTTATTAAGAGAGAGTGTGTAGCGGTACGGGTGAAAAAGAGGTGGTGAGATTGACTCTTTGACGATTTCACTTCCCTTTCCTGGAGACATTGTTGAGAAGTGCCTTGTGCATGCCAAGTCATCAGTGCTTGCCTGTTTTACAACTGTAGGAGGTTGGTGAGGAGGTTCCAAGTCCGAGCGGTATTCGCAAAGCACTTGTGGTCCCAGTAGAGCACGCCTCAGGCAGTCTTGTGCCAGATACAGAAAAAATATCCGCGCTTAACGGGTCAAGCTACCCCTTTCAATAACTTTTTGAATCTCTGATCTGGAAATTTTGACAGTTGAAAATGTGGTTAGCCACACATGAACTAGGAGTGGGACGTCAGAGATAAATTGAACCGGAAGCCTATCAAATTGATCCGTCATCGGAAGAGGTCATCTTCCGTGGCATGGAAGGACTCGTAAAGCAACTTGTTGGGAGCATTGTGACGAATGGTTCATGCTTGAGGCGACCCCTCCCCCTATTCCGAAACTAAATGGTTTTTTACAGAAAACAAGTCTAATCATTAAAAGCAAAGACTTTGTGTCCAGTAACACCGAACCATGGTTTGAGTTTTGCAAGACACTAGTACTACCACATAATCGAGGCGCCGCTCCAGGCCTGTCATTGCCGATGTCTTTTATGCTAAGAGAATTGTTTCGCCAATTTGGAAATCGGATTTGAGTGCGTCCGAAAGCACTTCTGACACAGGTTTCATCACATACCCCTACTTCGGCATGAGATTTCAAGAAATTTGCAAGCCTCGAAAGAAGATGTTCTAGATACATAAATCACATTTACAGTTACAGTTCACGTGCAGCTATTTTTTACCAATCGGTGATTTTACTTTCAGATGACTTGTAAAACGTGTAACAGGCAAATACCTCCGGGAACGAACTTCTATGACGTCAATCATGCACCAAAATGCAAGGATTGCTGCATTGTACGTTATTGTTCGGAAAACTTTCAAATCCGAGTTAAAAATGGAATAGTGAAAAAGTCATAATATATTTATTACTTATTAATTTTTGTCATATGAATTAAGGTTTTGGAAATCCCAAATTCAACGTGGACGGTAGCTTTGGATATACAGGAGAACTTATTTGGTGGTGTGGAACCGGCCGAGCTGAAGAATTTAAGTCTGACAGACGATAGCCGGTCCGGCTGCAACCCTAGTACGCTAGGGGTGTGGTCGGATCGACGCCACCACTTGGTTGAATCCAAACCAAAATGCTCCTAACTTAGATTTGAAAAGCGAAAAAAAAAGTTTTATGGAGACTACATGGACAACATCAGAAAAATCTGCCATGGAAACATGTTGCACTGGTCGAGCTCAATAGGGCCGTCAGCGTATCATGTGCCATTAGACGCTTTTTGAAAAGCGGGTCTCGAGTTGGTTAGCATATTCAGAGCTAGATTCTAAGAGATTATCCAACAGTTAATCGATCCAAGAAATTGTGTAGGAGCTTCGGGCCTGAGCAAGATCGGCAGGTCTACCTTTAGCTGTCGTTGATGGCCGATGACGTCATTTTATGAAGACGGTGCGCGAAGGGAGGGATGGTTTGCGCCTACTTCCAAGGAGAAATTTGGGGGAATATTGTGCTGTAGGGCTCCCGCCACGGACGGCAACTTTAGCAACGGAAGACTGAAATCGACATTGGCAGAATGCCTTTTTTCTTTGTACCCTCCCCCTCCTTCCATACATGCAGGATTGCACAACACTTTGAGCTAAAATTCTGTGCATGTCTTTGGTTTTTCTTCCCAACGTTGGCAGAACTTTACATCCCATATCCTTTTTTTGCATAAACTTGAGAAGCTCTACGGCTAACTACTACGTCTACATCCCATAGTACGTCTAAACCAACGGATGGGCTTATCCCTCAAAAAAGCTAGGTTGGGAATCGGGTAATAAATATCGCACTTGTTGGAACCTCAACCGCCCTGGAGTCTACCGCCCATTAAAGAAAAGAACCATAGATGTAGATTTCGCTGCAGCCCCCGTAGGTTCTGCTACCCTTGAGAAAGGTGACTAGAACCTTAAGTTTCCAACACGAGCGTGTGGAGAGGGGTAATATATTATTAGATTGTCCGATTAGTGACGTCATCTTCTTTCGATGAAGATTTCTCCAAATTTCCATGCTCAATGATTCGTAAAAGAGGATAAAAGAATCCCAGTCTTGGGATGCGGCACGCATTCTACTTCCATTTGTACATTCGCAGTGTGGGCTATACAATGACTGGGAGAAGGTGGGGGCGCGAGCCGATGTGAAAGTCCAGTCTGGTCGCATTACGCTGACTCCCGGTAAGGATGGAAGGCTTTGACTTTCGATCACCCGGACCGCTCGCGTGGTGAGCGTGCCACTTGCCACTACTCCACTTCCGCTCCTCTTAATGTTTCATACATAAGCTAAGTGTCTGCTCTACAAAACCGTTCACTTCTGTTCTAATTGCTAAGTTGGAATCAGGACAGGTTCAAAAGCTCTTGATTGTCGGCGGGGGATTCACAACTTAATGATTCAGTTCGGAAAAATTTATGTTTCATGACCGAGTCACCTGAATTCACAATTTATACTTTGGATTCTTGAATGTTTCTTCGAAGTACAAAACATCCTTTCAGTAAAATTGGTTGCAAAGTTTATTTTGCCGTCAAATTGTTCATTTTCAGACGGATGGTTCGAGACCTGTTCCACAGACTGCTTCAAAACCGGTAGGTTCACATTACGTGAATACGGCTAAAACCTTCTCCGTCTTCGCATTATTTTGTGAAGGTGGCTGGAAGGTAGGAAGGTTAGTGAGAAGAATAAGCGGGAGTTTGGGACCTAAATCAGAATTCAATGAAAAATTATACAGTGAGCAAAAGGGTGTTGACAAACGAGAGGGGCTTCCACCATTGCTTGCTTTGACCACCGTGTAATGTGAATGCATGCAAGACTGGAAACCCGCAATTAAAGTCTGTTTCCGCCGGGTGCACCGATGTCATCCTTTACGTGGGGGACTTGGAAGGGAATTTTTTCAAGCACTCCTATTTTCAGGTCACCTGTATGAAATGCAACAAAACAGTCCCGCCTGGGGTACCGTTCTACGATGTTGATCACGCTCCGAAGTGCAAGGATTGCTGTTTGGTATGTTGCTCTTATCGTTCATTTCTACAGTTTTGTTGCAAGGTCCACGTGACTGAGGAAATATCATGGTACACTCGTTTACGGAAGGAGCGAGATAAATCAATTTCGAGCTGGCAATTGATGTATAATCGAACTAAAAGACTAAGAGGGTGTGATAAAAGCGTTAACTGTTCCACTCATTATTGTGCCTCATGGAAGCATGGGATGCCTAGTAGATGTTAATGCTTGATTTCAAACTAACAAGGGAAGGATGGTAGGTCGAAGTGGCCGTTCGAAATGAAATGTATACCTCCTGATGCGTCTCCAGACGCTGATTCCAAATCTGCCTTCCAAATCTGCTAAACGACTCTCCGAACGGAGTTATGAAGCGTAATAGCTCAGTGGTGATGGTCCGGGGTGGCAGGTAAAAGCTCGTAGGATCGGTTCCTTTGCAAATTGGTTGCTTTGCTTTTGTCTCTAGAAGTGTTGCGGACAAAAGCAAAGCAACAAACTTGCAAAGGAACCGATCCTACGAGCTTTTACCTGCCACCCCGGACCATCACCACTGAGCTATTACGCTTCATAACTCCGTTCGGAGAGCCGTTTAGCAGATTTGGAAGGCAGATTTGGAATCAGCGTCTAGAGACGCATCAGGTGGTATACATCTCATTTTATACGGCCACTTCGACCTACCATCCTTTCCTTGTAAGCTCTCTTCCTGAAATGATCTATAAACCACTTTCAGGCCGACGGCGCCAAGCCTTCTCCAAAGATCTCTTCAAGACCGGTGAGCCTAATTTGAATCCTACCTTACTGTTAATACAAATTTGTGGCAGTGAACGAAATTCGAAGATCTTGTTCAAGACGTACAGTCCGCATCTCGCCGTCTGATTAGGCGTGTCTATGGAGTTGACGTGGGGACCGTCGCGTGGATAAGCTGATTCCAGCATGCTTTGCTGATATCTCGCGGAGTATTTTAGAATCAGCTTGTCCACACGTCTTCTATCAAGTGCGCACTGATACGCAGTGGCTTTTGTCCTCGCGATGGTGAAAAAAAGAAATGTCAGAGTATCACACGTCGGTTTTTTCGTTTTCGAACCACAATGCTATCTAAAATTCTGGAAGTTTGTTTTTACACAAGAATAATTATAGAAAATTTCAGGTAGCTTGTAGGAAGTGTAACAAAGAAATACCGGCTGGGACGCCATTTTACGACATTGATCGTGCACCGAAATGCAAAGACTGTTGCAATGTGAGTCGCTCTCACTCGCTGGGGGTTTTCTGGAATCAGGTTCGTACTTGCGAAGCTCACATGAGAAGAGTTAACATTGCGTTGAGAGAGTGAACGTGACGGTACCCTCCCTCTCACCACTTGCGGTGATCGATGGCTGGTATCAACTTTATCTCCTGGAATCGCCCAAACTTCCACAATAGACATCGACTGCGGTGGGGGTAAGGCTGCTGATGACAAAATTTTACGATGACCCAGCTATTGATGTTCCAACCTCTTCCCACTGTCCACATCTATGCCCTGACAGCAATCCCAGGTACGACCCCCTTCCGTCCCACCCTATCGGTGACGCAAATTTATCCCATATCGAAGGATCCTCGAGTGTGCTACAACCCTGCTAAGAGGCTCATAAGATTAGGAAAAGACTGGCATAAAATACCTGGAATAGGAGTCGCAGTTAGGCTATATTGGACAGAGAGAGTGGAATGGGGATGAGTAGCAAGAGCCAGCTCGAGAAGCTTCACAGTTCATATATAACCTTGCTGACATTATTGAAAACATAGAACGTAATCACATCTTCACATTTCTTTCACCTAGCTAGAGCTTTGAGTTTCTAAGCATACTTTTAGGCGGATTTCAAGCCCACTGCGGTGACTGCACCAAAATCGGTAAGAAAACAAGTTTCGATTCAAGGATGTATCTATTGTGGCAACTCTAAGATGTTTCTGTGAGGACTCAGAGAGAGTTGTCTCTCTAATGTACCACGTTTCGCAATAGGTATTTATGTGGCCTACCTCCAGTGAGAAAATCTCCGTCTCAGTAACTACCCTCGTCGCCATGCATATTTCGTGGCCGCTACATCATATTTCACGTTTTATTGCTTCTCACTAAAGCCGCCTGATTCTTTCTAACATTGCTGATATGATGTATTAGAATCTTCAGAAACATCTTCTAAAGCCAGAGCGCGCGATAAAGTGGAGTTCCCTGAAATGAAAGTAGTGCTGCTAAGAGGTGTACAAGGGGTAAGAGGCGAAGATATGCTATGGGAAACGGCCCTGGAAGGAATCCTTTTTTCCCTGCTGGTTTCGGCTCTGTGCGAGTTTCATCAATGGAAACATGATCAGGATGGACGTTATGCTTTGCCTTGCCTTTCCACTAAAACGGCTGGGGTACGACGGCGAGGGACCACCAGCTGGAGTAGCCAATTTGTAGTCGAGAACAACTGTGGAGGTACTCACACCACGGATAGGAACCTGTTAGACCGTTACGGTCGCCCT